ACTCTCAAGCTATTGTTGCCCTCAAGGTGTATATAACCGAGGATGAGAGTCAATTAGACAGAAAAGTGAAAATTATCAGTTCTGATAGAGGCAGTGAATATTATGGAACTTACAATGAATCTGAACAATGTTCAGGTCCATTTGATAAATTCTTTCAAACTAATGACATATGTGCTCAATACAATATGTCAGGAACACCACAACAAAATGGTGTTGCATGAAGGCAAAATCGTACTCTAATGGAAATGGTTATGAGTATGATGAGTAATTTTTTTACCCTCATCATTATTGATGCATGCTTTAAAGACCACTGCATATTTATTAAACGTGATTCCTAGTAGGTTCCAAAGACTCCTTTTGAACTGTGGACAGGAACGAAACCTAGTTTAAGGCACCTGCGTGTTTGGGGTTGCCCAGCGAAAATAAGGTTATATAATCCACATGAAAAGAAACTGGACTCAAGAACAACCAGTGGTTTCTTCATTGGTTATCCAGAAAAATCTAAAGGGTATAGATTTTATTGTCCTAATCACAGTACAAGAATTATTGAAACTGGAAATGCTAAGTTCATTGAAAATGGTGAAGTTAGTGGGAGTTTGGAACCACATAAAGTGGAGATCCAAGAAATTAGGGTTCAAGTTCCTTTACCCAAAATTTCTTCTCAAGTTGTTGTTCCTACAGTTGTTGAACATTTTGACAACTTACAAGAACAACAAATATATGATCAAATACCCCACAATGAAACTGTCACTAATGAACCTACATTAGATGAACCACATGAAGTAGTACCTAGAAAGTCTCAACGACAAAAACGGTTTGCTATTTCTGATGCTTATGTGGTTTATCTTCATGAATCTGAATTTGACTTAGGAGTCAATGAAGATCCAGTTTCATTTTCACAAGCTATAAAAAGTGCAAATTCTTCTAAATGGTTAGATGCAATGAAAGATGAGTTGAAATCGATGGATCACAACAAAGTTTGGGATATTATTGAATTTTCTAAAGGTTGTAAAAGAGTCGGGTGTAAATGGGTCCTTAAGACTAAGCGCGATTCGAATGACAATATTGAACGATATAAAGCCAGACTTATTGCCAAAGGTTTCACTCAGAAAGATGGCATCAACTATAAAGAAACATTTTTTTCGGTTTCTAAGA